TGTTAAAGCAAGACCTCAAGCTTGAGTGTTTCTCCTTCCCGTGCTTGCCAGGAGGAATAAATTGTTTCCCAGTTACTGTATATAACTAAGGATATTCATAATTATTGTTTGAAATTAATATGATTATAAGTTGATTATATTTTACTTTTAAACTATGATTCTGATTCATGGACTCCCAGCTATGTGTTTGCTAATAGGTGGTACTGTAGGTAATTAAATTCCAACCTCTTCCTATAATTTTCTATGAGAATGTTATTCTCATAGGCAGTGATTGCACAATTCTATTACCATGTTTATTCAGAATTTATGTCTTTTTGTATGTTGGAATCTTGCTTCTTTGTGTTCAGGGAATAAATACATTTGAAACATGAATTTAGACCAATAGTATGAGAGTGGATAGGAAAACCTCCTTTGCAATGTGAGCAAGAATGAGGCAGATATCAGTACGGAAGCGATTAAATTAAATAATCACAATCACAGTGCATAGGACTCAAACATGGATAACCTTAGGATAATTTTGAGTTGACAGAGGAGTGTCCTTGTAAAATACTCATGGACATGAGACATGTCTCATGTAGACATGGACATGACAGACTTTTCAGAAAACTAGATTTTTATTAAAGGAATGTGATAAATAGTAATCTCATAATGAATATGAGATAGGTCAGAAAAAGTAGGGAGGAATTGGCACAACTCTGCATTATATTTTTAGCTTCAGATGGAGGAAGGAATAAGTTGCAAAAAGATTCAGAAGACAGAGTTCTGTTTTAAGATGGATGGCCATACAAATCTTTTAAATAAATAAACAGGCATAGCATATTATTTATGCTCCTTCCATTGCACAGAAGAGGTAGGGTGACCTATCATGTAAGTGCTCAGCAAATGAAAATAACAATTCACAGGAAAAATGAGATGACATGAAAGGGCAGTTATAATTCTGGAGTTTAATGAATGAGATCATGGAAAATTGAAAAAGATAGTATTGCTCTGTGCTAGTTCAGTGAAAGAGTGAGATGTGCTTTATTATAGGTTTAGAGTACTTTATTCACAGTGCATGTTTCTCCAGGGCTCTGAATAGCTAATAGGGATGCTCTTGGACCTTTCAGACATAACTGAACCATAACTCCCAGTAGTCCCATTTAGTATGTCCAGCTGCAAGGAATGCTGTGACTTACAGTTCAGCAACAGCCAGGAGTTCAGAGGTTACATTAGGTACACAGAAGGAAGTTGAACATGACAGATTTTCAGTAGGAAATTTATTTACATACAGGCTGGATTGCTGTCTGAAAACTAAGCCTTTGTATAAGTTAACTTTTCAGGAAGAATGGATTTGTGGCAGAATGTTGTGGAACACTTAAAAATAAAAAAATGCTGTTCTTGTATCAGTTCACTGCTTCATTTCATAGATCCATATGCACAGCAGTGTGCTTTGTTTATCTACATCAGTAAACCTATATTGAAATATGTAATATTTATACATGCTACACCATATAATCCCAGCATTTTCATTTTGTTAGGTAAGTGATGCAACTAAGCTGAGGCCAAAGGCAGAATTCTGTTTTGGTAAGTTTTAAAAAGGCTTTAAATTTATGACATAAATGATTTTTGAAAAGTGAAACAATTTTGTTTTGCTTTTTCATTTTAAGGCATAGATGTTTTTGAGTACCAGTTCATTTATATTCCATGTTTCCTTTCTAATATAAAGAGGACATGTTTTAAAAAATAAAATTACATTATTAATAATTATATATATGTATAGATTAAATATTGAAAAGAATAAGTCTGCTGATCCCCTAATAATAAATGGCAGTTGCCAATGGAATATATAAGAATTAACAACTTAAAATCTTTATGTTTTACAAGCTTTGTCTTTGAATTCTGTTTAAGTTATAACATGTTTTTTGGCTTGCCTTCTGGGGTTTATCTTTTCAGTTTTTGAAAAAAATCAATTCCTAAAGTACAGTTTGGCAATCATTTTAATAAACTGTATATTAGGCTCCCAGTAGGCATCAATGGAGAAAAAAAAATCTAAAGAAAACAGATCTACTCTATATCTCCATTCATGAATTTGCGGTATGTGTACTAATGTCAAAAGTTATCGTTCCCTGCATTTGAGTTTTGTACAATGTCTAGACAAAGAAAGTGACAATGTCTTTAGTTTTCATACACACAGAGATATATAAAATTTTATCTAGCTGTATAATTTTTTTCTCCAACAGTCATGAATGCAGGAATGAGGAAATACTTTTTACAAGCCAATGATCAGCAAGACTTAGTTGAATGGGTAAATGTCCTGAACAAAGCTACCAAAATCACAGTAAGCAATGTTTTTGAATCCTAGGGTTATTCTGCTTAGGGTCTCATTATAATGGGACAAATATAAGAACCCTCATTTGTATTTCAAGTTTATATTATTTTAGCAGATTAATATTAGGGTCCCCAACTCTTTGGACCAGAACTTGACATTTTGAGGGCATGTCATGGGCACTCAAAGAAAATGGCTGCCATGGCAGCTTGCCCATTTGCAAAAAGCTGCTATTTACTTTACCCTCCAAATACTCATTATCAAACCTAGTTTACTTTTTATGAGCAGTGGAGTATATTTACAAGCAAAACTCGGCTTTTAGAATTCTCTCTGACAGTATTCCGAAATTTAGTCTCATTCTGTTTTGTTTCTGGAGAGTTATCCTGCTGACAGAATTAATTGGAGTTACCCTGCTGACATTCCATTGGATTGGAGAAAATAACACAATTAAAAAGTAGAGTAGGACAGAGTTCTGGCAGTCAAGAAGTAGGATTGGGGGAATTCATTAAGATAGCATGTTGAGATCCCTGGGTTAGGAAAATTATACATTTGATGGACTCTTTTATGTATTAGTCACCATGCTAGGATCTCAGTAAGTCATGGGAATTCTGCACTTCTGTTATCATGTGAACCTGCAAATCAGAGCTATATGAAAGCAAATGTTACTTGAAAACTACCTGGTAAATATGACAGAGTCATCAATCTTAGCAAGATTTGTTCAGCATTTTAGAAAAGAAAATATTTCATCAATCAAGTGAAAATAGTTTTGATTGAAAGTTCTTTCAGGTAATCCAACTAAACATCCTTTGGGAGAGAAATTATGCTTTTTTATTGTGCCTGTTGCTGCAAAGGAATCTTCTGTTTTGTTTGAAAGCATCTTGATATCATATGCAGCAACAGCTGCATATATACCCCACACAATGAAATTAGAACATTTTAAGCTCTATGTGAAGTAGGTGTGGTTTTATTTGTTAGAATTTCTAAAAAAAACTTAACATTTGTTGTTGATCAGTTTAAAAAGAAAGAATAATAGAAACTTCATGAAACAATGATTTTAAGAGAATGTGAATGAATTTATTGCATCAGTATTGATTTTAGTAACTGATAGATGAATATACTACACTACTTTCTACACTACTGTTTCTGCAGTACTTTTTTTAGTAGTGCAATCTGAAAATCTGTCTCATTCTGGTAAAAGAATGAAATCCTAAAAATCGATAGATGAAGATCTAAGAGTTCTTCAGGATTGAATGACACTTAGCTAGGTTATTAAAGAACCACACGGGAAACCATAAAATATTTAACTAAATATATAGCTTGTGTAAGGATAGGAAAGTAGATAATTTAACCACGGTCTTAAGAAAGAGATTCAAAAGGGATATAGGAAATGATAAGCACTTTTGCCTCATTTCTCTTACTGGTGAATAATTAAAAATAGACTAGAATAGTTAAATTCTGAGTGACTCTGAATTGGAAGATACATTTCAGTTCAATATCTTTATAATGTTCTATTTTCAGGTACCAAAGCAGGCTGACTCATTGTCTCATACTGATAATGCATTGCGTCATTCTGAAAATGTGGGAATAAAAAAACAAATGTCTTACAGAACAGAAATTGTTGGTGGTGTTCCTATAATCACTCCCACTCAGGTAATAATAGCATTTTATATCACTTCCAAGATACAGAAAATAGATATTTTATTGGCATGTTGTCCTTCCTATTGATGTGTAGGGATAGTGGATTTGCAAAAAATTTGAACCTAAAGGGGAAAAAAAATGATCTCGATATCTCATTGCCAGAATTTTGTAGTAGTTGAGATGCCTCTTAATTTTCATATTAGAAGAAACAAATAGAAGTACATTTTAAATGGAAAGTTTTAGTTTGCCCATATTTCTCAACTCCTCCTTCAACTTTATAACATGTTGCCTGTGGTAAAAGGAGGAAGCTGACTGAATGGAGCATGTTCTTCACATACCCTAGTCCAGTGTTTCTCAACCTTGGCAACCTGAAGATGTGTGGACTTCAACTCCCAAAATTCTATGCTGGCTGAGGAATTCTGGGAGTTGAAGTCCACACATCTTCAAGTTGCCAGGGTTGAGAAACACTGCCATAGTCAATGTGGTTGCACATCACTTTCTTTGATTGTAGCTGTATTATTTCCTTGGATTCTGTGGAATCGAGGTAATAGGCTCATCTACTTATGGGATAAGTTAAAATTAAAAAAGTAGTTTTTGGAGCTTGTTTGTCTATTGAAATTTTTGATGATGCCTCCAAGGAACATGAAATAGTTCATCTCTGTATTTGGGTATTATTACCAAGGATGTAATACCAGAAAAAAACAATTTTATCTCCAGTATCTGTAAAATGTTTGGTTTGCTTTTTAATATCTATTTATCTAGTGAAAATAAACTTTTATACCATTTATTTGATGTGAAACATGGGTGAAAATAACTAGTATCATAGCTGAAAAATCTGATTCTTTTTAAATTTGGAAGCAAAAAACAACATTTTTTATTTTTTTACTAATTAATAGTAAACTTCAGACCTGGCCTCTAAATTATCTTGTTTACTTTTTTCTAGAAAGAAGAGAGAAATGAATGTAGTGAAACTGATAAAAACTACTTGAAACGGTCCCAAAGCCATCTTCCATACTTTAGTGCTAAGTATCCTCCAGACAATGCTGTTATCAAAGCTGGCTACTGTGTTAAACAAGGAGCTGTGGTAAGCAGTTAAAGTATATTTTGAGGTTAATAAAATCTGTATTATACAATATATAATGCAAGGGGATTTTTTAACCATGCAGAACAGATTTCCCAAAAACAAAGTCAAGAGAATATTAGCTACATGTGTTTTAAAAAATGTTCTTGAAGGAAGATTCTTAAAATTACCTTAACTGAATTGTTTATGTGCAGTTAGGTTTTTTTTTTAAATTCATCTCAAGATTTTGTTTCAGGTATTGCTGCATTAATTCAAGTTATATTTTATTTCTTCAGACATATGATCAACAATTATTTTACATACAAGGCTGCTTATTGTAATATGTACTAGATGTAAAAATATAATCATCCACAGGCCACTTGAAATTAAATCTGTATGAATTTTTAGTACATATTCTCAGCATATTATCACTCACTATTCAAATGTGGAGCCACATAGTGAACAGCAGTATGCATTATGAATTACTGTGTATAATATAGCATAACCACTGTATGAAAACTTTGCCATGTTAAGAATTTTGACAGTAATGTAAAGTGGTCCTCAGTTTGACTTCTACTTGATACCCAGTTGGTGTCCAAGAAAGTACTTGAAAGTACTAGCAACAGCTGCTGCAGATGACCAATTGCTGCATATCTCTGTTACTGAATTTGGAGACAAATTTCCCTGTCTGAACTCTGAACTGATTGGTGCAGTGTTTCCCAACCTTGGGAACTCTGTGGCATTCAACTCCTAGAGTTCTTAGCAATGGCCATGCTGGCTGGAGAATTCTGGGTGTTGATTCAGCAAACTATTTGTTTTTTTTGTTTTTTTCCTCTTGTGGGGGAGGGGAAGTCATGGAAGACCCTTGCAATCACACCTGGACTGAAGAATGATTTTTTTTGTCCTTTTTCTAGTTGTTTCACTTGTATATTGTACAATCAGCTTTTCCCTCCCCATTCAGAACCATTTTCATCTAATGAATACCATAGAGTTATGCAATATTTGAGCCCAATGGGGACATCCTCACTCTACCTGTTAGTTGCTCCTTAAAAGAACCATGAATTTTTCTGAGTTCACACAATAAGCATGTTGAATCAGAAAAAATATGTTTCTGATTTAAGGAATGCACAGAATATCAAGATGAGAAAGCAACATGTAGTCTTGATAGAAAGCCTAAAACCCCTATGAATAAACAAAAAATATGTGATTCTTTAAAATATATTCGAGATACATTATTAAAATTTTGTTTGTATACATAGATGAAGAACTGGAAAAGAAGGTATTTCCAGCTGGATGAAAACACAATTGGCTACTTTAAATCAGAACTGGTAGGTATCCATTTATATGTTTTTGATTAAGCAAAACTTCAGAACAAATATTTTTGTTATGTATTAATGCATAATTGTTTTGCTTCCATTATTTTGATGGGAATTTCAGTCTTTAGAAATGGAATTTAGAACATAATTCTCTTTGTATCCACTGTCATTAGTTGATGGACATTTTAATGTATAGCGAATGGAGCAATGGTTAGAATTTCAATATAATAAGACTGCTGACAGTTTTAATGTGGAATTAATAATAGGGTAATCACTTTCCATACATTCCCTATTGCTCTGAATAGGTCTTTAGTAGTGAATAATTCATTTCTAAGATAGACTATAGGAGAAACATGAATTAATACATAGAGAATGTATGCAGTTTCTTATTTTTCTATTGTTATGCACACTGATCTTATTCTGAATTAAGAATGAAAGTTTTGATTAAGACACAGTTCTTTTACCTATCCAAGCTGGTTTGAACATAATGCCAATTTTTAGAATTGCGTTATACAGGTACTCCTCATTATTTGAGGGGTTCCATCCCTGCCTAATGACAGTGGAGAATTAAAACACAGAACGCGAGACCTTGAGAAAATAAAGTCAGGAAAATGTATTAAAAGAGAAAGTGATTAGGTTGCAGAAATTTCAACAACTGGATTACTTTCATTTTAGAACCCGATTTATCCTTTAGCCTTTTAGGGCAGAGATCTTTTCATTTTCTTTCTAATGCTTCTTCTCTGAACCAGACAGTTGCTGCCTGTTTCCCAAACAACGCAGGGGTCCATAGGTGTGTGTTAATGTAATAGTTTTTCAGCAGGGTTGGAGCTCTGATTCAGTAATCTTATAAACTGACCTTTCCTTTCTGTCAAGGGGGAACATATTTCAACCTTCATTTTGTCATCTCAAGGTGGAAGACTGTCTTAAGTTGGTTAATAATTAAGGAGCATCTCAGAAAGGGGGTTTCATGATTCAGATTGTGTCTCATCCACCATTGGTAAGAGAATGCCCAACACCATATTATCAAGGTGGATCAATTTGTGTGTGTCTGCTTCTATTGTGAGGGTATTACAGCTGATTCCTTGAAGTGTTTCCCTATCTTTTGTCTTTATGCATTAATACATCAGAGTTGACATTTGTGCTTCAGCAGGGGTACACCTGTGAATATAGCAAGGGATCCAACTCCAGAATAGATGGACTATTCCATTTTAGTAAAATGTAATTCTGGCCTTATCATGGGAATGTTTTGTTGTCATATGGGTAGCCCATCTGCACAAGCTTGCTAACGCTTTCTGCTGAAGATAGTAGGGGCAGAGTGGGCAAACCATGGACTGTCCTACTCTTCCCTCAAGCCTTATTCTTACAGCTCCTGGAATTGCACCACTGAATTTTGGCCATGTGTAGTCTATAAATAGAGTTGTAATTTTGCACTGTTCTTTGAGAAAACAGTTTTAAAAGTCTGTAAAATTTTATTTAAATTAAATACACTAAACATGCTTCCAACATTGAACTTTCCTTGAAAATGCTATTGTTACCCTCTTTATTGATTTTACTGCCCATTCCATAGAGGTGCTTAGCTTCATTTTTTTTTAATGACCCTTTACCACTGAAAGGTTGCTCAGCAAAGCTGCAAGGAATGGCTCCCAGCTTTCAGATTGCTTTAAGTTGTATGCTGGGAATTATGACTTGTTTTATTAAGTTTCTTGACCATATGTGAGTTATCTTACTGATTATAAGCTCATGAGAATTAGAAGCCTTTTTTATGCTATAATATGCCAGAAATGGTAGGATATAGATGGGAACATACAAGGAAGTTTGCATGCCTTTGCCATGGGGAAAAGACCTGCAAATATGATAAAAGTATATGTACACTCACTATTGAAAGAAATAAGTTAATGATAACATTTTAATTTGTTCTCTATTTACATAGAATGAGTTTAAAAAACTTATTTGACAGGTATATAGCTTATAGGTTTATTTTAGGTTGCTGTGCATTAACCAAATTATTATTTTAGAAAAATAAATTAAATGAACATATTTAATAAATTATAAATAATTCAAGAATGAATGGCAATTATTTTAAAGTGATTTCTTGGTCACCTTGTATTATGGGATGTGAGAATAACCTTGGGAGACAGGAGGAAGAGCTGCAGCTTAGACATCGGTTTCATAAGAGGTATCTCAGCCCACAGCAGGAATGCAGGGGTGGGGGGAGAAAGTGTCACAGAAGGAACCCTTCTAGTTGTCGGAAAATAAAGGCAAGGGGGGGGGGAACAAACTGCTTCAGACTTTCAAGATTCTGTTTTCTTGTAAGAGCCTTACAATAAAAGTAGTATTAGTACTCATGGTTTTGGTTTCCTGTCTGGACTACCACAAAGGGCTGACACCTTGAATCTTGTCACAGAGGCACTAAATTCAGAGCTGCCAATAGCTCTTAAGTGTTCTTTATTGTTTAAACAGGATGTATGAAAAAACTATTAAAATTAAGTGATATGTATCACAGTTGATTAGTTCTTGCCCTACTACACTGTAGGTGAAAACTTATCTATCTATAGGCTACAGAATGAATAATTATCATTAATAATAATTGTTAAGATAAGTCTACTTGGAAATAATCCTCCAAAGGCTTATTCCCAAGAAAGTACAGTATATAGAATTGCAGTGAAAGAAATTGTTCAAAAGTGTCAGGTTGCATACAATTTTTGATAACTAACAAAACTATGAAGCATTCCTTTCTGAAGATCTTACACTGAAGCTCAACTCAAATTCCTCCTACAGATAAGCAGGTTCTTGATCAGAGTGAAGTATTGTGATTAAAAAAAAAATATTACTACTTACTCTTTCTGTAAATGAAATTGTAATTTTCACATCCTTAGCAGTTAATAATTTGAAGGAACAGATGAATATGTATGCTGTTGAAATATAAAAGAGGTTCAAAGCTTTTACCATTGCTAACTTCATTTGAAGTTAACTGTGAAATGTAACTGCATTTGTTTTCCTTTCAGCAACCACAAAAAAAATTCATGAAAGATGATAGTTTGCTGGTTTGAGAGAAAAATCAATATGCATCTCATGCACCATATTACTTGAAAGAAAACAATGTAAAATGTAATACATTTATGCACTCTTTTATTCTATCATAATTTAGAATGTTTTCAAATATATTCACATCTATTGCTCTATTGTTGGCTATAGCACTCCAATTTTTTCAGAAATGCTGAAATCCTTATTGCTTACCCAAGAATTATTATAGAGGAACCTGTATACATTAATATGCATCAAATCCATATTTCCATTCATCACCAAGCATGATTATAAATTAAATATGGCTAATTTTCATGATTTTCATCCCCACTATAGAAAGAAATGGAGTGGTATTTGGCTAGACTATGTTGGTTGTGCATGGGTAACCAACAGCAGTGGCAACAGCAATTTGAATTGTGTTCTTTTTAAATTATTTCTCTTTGTATCCTGCCCTTGCTAATTTAAACCACCAAGCAAATGCTTTCATTTATATATTTTCAGAGTGAGCATGTAAAATAATTTACTGCTGTAATTCAAATATACCTATCACAAACTAAACTCATTTTTATTCTGTTTAGGAATATAAACTTATGTTGCTCTAGAATACATCAGGGCAAACTCTGACTGCAAATTTTGAAGAGAGGTTGCTTAGGGCTGGGAGATAATATGGTGACACCATGTAGCTGGGTGGGTCCAGGATTTCAGCAGGTGGGCCTGGCTGAACTTGTCTGAGCTGGAAAGCTAAGGAGGGTAAGTCCTGCTTGGATGAGAAAAATACCAGAAATCCTAACAACCACCCTGAAAAAAGGCTGCTACTTCTGTAATGTTGTCAAGAAAACATGTTGATGAAGTCCATGGAGTCAAGCCTGACTGAAGAGTGTGTTCACCCTTTCCCCCCCCCCCCCTTCCCAACACATGGAATGTTAGAAAGAAATTGTGTAAAGGGACTGAGACTTTGGTTTAGGGAGTCTATCTAAGGCATCCATCAGGGTTTGCATACAGGTTGCAATTCTCAGTTTGGCACATTTGAAAATTATGTGCTTAGAACTTTCTGAAAGCTGTACTTGTTAGGCAGAACAGTGTCTCTCCAAAAATCACAATATTAATATTTTATAATGCATGAACTTTTAAATAATACTTGTGCTTTAAAGTTATAGATTGCCCTGTTACCTTAAAGAGACCAATAGGATTTAATTGTATGGCCTTAAACTATTATTAAGTTCATGAATTCCCCTCTTCTCTGTGTGGCTGGGAAGAGACAGAAACTATATGTGTAAATCACTCCTCAAGCCAGGTAAATTATAACATTGTTTGTTTTATATAGAAAAGGTTTATGTTCCTAGTCTCTTTCAGTGTAGAGAAAGTGGGAAACTACTGATCTTGAAGATGCATCTGAAATGATGTTCCTAGCATTCCTCATTGTTGGCTGTGGCTGTTTACAGCTACAAGTCAGTAGCAGGTCTCCACTCCTGCTTTAAACCTTAGTTCTGCTTAGTTACATTTCAGTTTTGTACATAATAAAGAAGGAAATGAAAGATTCTTGAAATGAAAGGAGGCATGCAAGTACTCATGCAAATGGTGATAAACTTTAGTATTATGGCTGAATTAGATTATTGTATTCAACAACAAGCTCCATGGATATTGTTTTAGTATATTTCAGTGCTATAATATGTTTTAATAATTGTGCACACTATAACAAGATCATTTTAAATGGTCTTTTAATATAAGTGAAATTTTCACTTATAATTTCATTAGCAGACATCTAATTTTGGTGAATATAAGTAAATCCCAATAAAACTTTCCTATATTTTGTATAAAGTGATAGAGAAAGAAGAAAGAAGACTATAGATGGGACATATTGTAACAGAATGTGGTAACCATGATACAGATAGTCCTCATGTAGTGACTGCCTCAGACAGCAGCCATTCCCAGTTGGCTAAGCCATTCACACAGCTAATGAAAAAGTAAATTTACAACTGATGTCCGCATGTGCGACTTTCTCAGTGTCTTTCTCTCAGTCACTTGTTTGCCATTTTAGTCAATTAGTCCGTGTTATCCTGTGCCTGGCCTGCTCCCCCCCCCTTTTCCCCTCAGAGTGGAGAAATTGCCTAAACAATCTCTTCCTGAGCTGCTTTCCTCCAGAGTGCAGCACATCCCTGAAAAGTGCTAATCGCAAATTAAGGAGCTCATTTCTGTGATCTTAATTAGTTGATTAGAACATTCCCCATTCATTCAGTTGCTGCCAGAAATTGACAAGATCCTAATCAGTTTTCACACTAAAGGCTTCTGTTTGCCTCCTAATTGGCTTGTGGCTCACAGCAGCCAGCGCACTAGGCAAGCAGCTGGTGCTAGCACATTCCTTTCAATGTGTATTCCCCATTGTGTGCCTGGTTGCTCTCTTGTAATCTCTTCCTCTCCAATGAATGTAAATACAAACATTAATTTTCTTCTTGCCAATTATCCCAGCGCCGGGATGACCATTCCAAAGGTCAGGGGAGTGGAGAAAAAGGGCTATAAGATTTGCCCATTTATCTGGTTTCCTTGTGAGTCGAGTTCTGGAAACTTCCTTACCATTTGGGCTCATCCGGTTGTTTGGGGTCGTATCTTTCTGGCGCTGTAAAGCAAAGGAAAGCTGAAGTAAAATCGTAAGCATGGTTGTGGTCACATGACTTTTTACTTAGTGACTGCTTCACTTAACAACTCAGTTGCTGGTCCCAATTACGGTCACTAAACAAGGATTACCTGTATTGTTCTTACAGAATGTTGATTATGCAATACCAAAATAAATGAACTGTTCAATCTCTTTTTATTAAGATATTAACTTGCTAATTGGATTCTTTCTGGGCTCCTTCTTTCTAGTCAGCATGGAATAGAAGTGGAAGTATCTGGGTTATTTTTGTTAACCAAACTCACCTAGAAAATGTGTATGCTTTTATCATTTTGTCCATATAGCTTTTATTTTGTGAATAATTTTTCTATTCCTTTTTTTTCATCAAATGGTTTTGTAGGACACATATTTTCAGTATTTAGTTGCTAAAAATTTAACATACTGAAGCTTCTATTTTTTCAGGATAAGGAGCCTCTTCGGATAATACCACTGAAAGAAGTTCATAAAGTCCAAGAATGTAAACAAAGGTGAGAAATATAAAAGTATCAGATCATATGTAATTGGAGTAAGAAAACCTGGTCAAGCTTTTCTCATAATTTAATACATTTCATTTGCTTTATGATCAAATTATAAAGACAAATTATTTGAAACACAGGATATTTTAACAGGGCAAAATGTAGTCATGCATATATTATAACAAAACCTCAGGAAGGTGGAAACACCTAGCTGATTTTGAAAACTAAGCAGGATTAGCCTTGATTAGTGCTTGGACGGAGACCATATAGGAATTTCAAGGCCTTTGATTAGACTAGACAGTTAAAAAAAAAAAAAAAAAGTCAGAAGAGGACAGAAGCAAACCACTTCCAAGGAATGCTTCTAAGGAAACTGCAGAGAGGTAATCACCTTGAACTTGACTTGAAAGGATTGGTGCTTTTTAACACATTTGTAAATGATCTGGAATCAGGCCTGACTAGTAGAGTAGCCAGGTTTGCTGATCACACTAAATTGTTCAGAGTGGTAAAAACAAGAGACTGCGAAGAGCTCCAAAGGGATCTCTACAAATTAGGGGAGTGGGCATCAAAATGACAAATGTCATTCAGTGTGAGTCAGTGTAAAGTGATGCATATCAGTGCCAAAAATGCTATGGTGGCTTCAGAAAAGGGTCGGACCAATTAATGGAAGACATGGGGATCAAAGGGTATTAGTTTTGATAGCAGTGTAACTGTGTCTGAAGCCCATCAGCTTGGGGATTAGTGGGCTTCCTTGGGCAGTTGGTTTGTTGCTATGAGAACAGTCTGCTGGACTAGATAGCCAGGGGCCTGATTCAGTGGGGCACTGCTTATGTTCTTATGTAAGGCACCTGGGTGGAAGCACAGATAAAAGTAGGGGGATATATCAGATACATTATTTTGAAAGGGTTGATTACATTGTTTTTCAAAAAGTCTCAACTAATGCCTTTGTAGAAGGAGAATGAAAAATCCAGCCTGGGACTAAATAAACTCTTTCCTAAAGATTTTGTGTGTGCTGGCTACATACACAAATAATAAATCTGGGCATGCAGCTCATTAAGTTATGAGGTGATTCTGTTATGGCATTATAAAATAGTATTTTAGCGCATCTTCTGAGTAATTTTTATCTCAGTGCCTTGTTTAACTTGAGGAGTAAGCCTAGGTGTGATTCAGCAATGGGTATATTTACCTTGAGTTTGTGAAAGGAGGAGACAGCAAGGAAATCTGGAAGCACTGGTGTATCTCTTTGCTGTGTCTTTGCCTGATTATCATTCCTAGTTGAGGCTAAGCCAAAAGGGTGGCAATAATCTACATATAACCAAAACACTAGCCAGTCTGGTCATAACTTCAGATGGAGTGGCTATCATTCATCTAGGCTCTTAATAATGTAACTGATTTGGGCTGATAGTACAAGAAAGGAGGTAGTGTACATTACATGCTGTAGTACAGAAAATAGTACAGGTAGTCCTTGTTTAGTGACTGCCTCATTTACCAACTGTTTGCAGTTAACAATGGTGGTAAAAAAGTAACTCTGCGACCAATCCTCTTGTTTATGACCTTTGCAGCTCTGTAAAGCAAAGGAAAGCTGAAGTAAGATCATAAGCACATTAGCGGTTTCACTTAGTGACTGCTTTGCTTAATGACTGAGTTGCCAGTCCCAATTGTGGTCACTAAACAAGGATGACCTGTTGTAACTTATTTGCTTTCAAAGCTGATCTTGTATAAAATGCATTTTTCTGTGTCAGTTACATGAGTTAGAATTTGATTTTAACAATACTTACATTTACACTTACATTTGTTGTATGTTTTTCAGTGATATTATGATGAGAGACAATCTTTTTGAAATTGTAACAACTTCTCGAACATTTTATGTACAGGTAAGTCTTACCTTTGTGCATTTTATGGAAGAAAACAAACTTCATTTCCTTTTAAATAAATGGCAGCATACTATTTTGCAACTAAAAAGAACATGAGCTGGGGACCCCCAGTTTGGAGAGAACTAATGGGAACATCTGGAGTTTTGAGAGCATTTAATAGGTCCTTTCACAAAATGCCTATTGTGGGGAAACTTGTCTATTCACAAAATGGCTGCTTTGGTGGCTAGCAGTAAAATATCCATTTACCAGAAGGTAAGCTGGGAAGATTGTTCCCTACCACAGCCATCTGACTTTCAGTGCAAAGTTGCAAAGCATTTGATTGCAAGCATCCACCACTTTTTAAAGAAGGTTTAAGGAACTCAACCCCTTCATGGATCACTGCCTTGTCGTGGCGAAGGGGCTTGCGTAACTCAGTGAA